CCACCGCACTCAGCACTCCTCCGTGCATGGTGAGAATCCCTCTTTTCCCATGTGCTCGTTAACCTTCATGCTATGAGACAGCTAGATTTTTCCAACTGGGGAGGAAGAAATGATTTCTCATTTTATTTTACATTTCTCTGATTACTAGTGAAACGCAGCACTTTTCCATATTTACTGGTTATCCTGGTTTTTCTGTGAGTTCCCTCTTCATATCCTTTGCCCACTTTTCTTTCCTGTTGTTTAGTATTTCTTACTGATTTGGAGCAGCTCTTTCTATAATCTTTCTTCTTTGTAATCTTCTAATTCTAATATTTTATAACATTTCTAAAGTTTCTTTTTGTAATCCATCTAGAATTTATTTTTGTACATGATATGAAATTAGGATCTGATTTTATATTTTCCACACAGACAGCCACTCTAGCACTGTTCATTGACTGGTCCATCCTTACTCCCTGTAGTCAGCAGAATAATGCTCCCCACCCCAAAAATGTCTACCTCCTAATCCCCAGAACCTGTAAACATGTTATTACACTAAGAGAACTAAGGGTTGCTAATCAGCTAACCCTGAGATGGGGAGAGCATCCTGGGTGATCTGGGTGGGCCCAACACAATCACAACAGTCCTTATAAGTGACAGGGAGGCAGGAGGATCAGTCAGAGAGATTTGAAAATGCTACACTGCTGCTTTGGAAGATGGAGGAAGGGGCCCAAGGATGCAGGTGGCCTCTAGGAGCTGGGAAAGGCGAGCAAACATATTCTCCCCCAGAGCCTCCAGAAGGCGCTAGCCCTGCCCACACCTTGATTTTAGCCTGTGAGACCCGTGTTGAACTTCTGACCTCCAGAACTGTATGACGGTAAGTTTACGCTGTTTTAAGCCACTAAACTTAGGGTAATTGGTTATAACAATAATAGGAAACTAATACACTCCTTATCTCTAATTTGTCATACATCACATTTTTTATTTTTTCCTGTTATCTGTCTATCTCTGCACCAATGCCATATTGTTCTAGTTGCTATAAATTTATGGTAAGTCTGCAAATCAAGAAAAGTGAAGCTTCTTTTGTTCTTCAAAATTGACTTGGCTATTCTTGACTATGTCATTTTTTAATTAAAAAAAAGAATATACCTTAAAAGAAAATAAATGCAGCACCCAAGGGAGATACATTCCAGGCAGAGAGCATGAGCCAAGACTCTAAGTTGTGAAACAGTGGCATGGTTAGTGAACCACAGGCAGCACAAAGCACCTGGGGAAACTTTCAAAACCACTGGACTCAGCCCTGGGGGTGATGGGGTGGATGATTCCAATAGCCTAGAACCATTAACAGCTGTCAAAGACTTCTACTTCTGGCCAGGATAGAGTAACACTGACCAGACCTACCCTCCCATCTGAAACAAATTTTTAAAAAACTGACAAAATATATAAAACAATAGTTTTCAAGACACTGGAATTCAGGCAACAAAGGAGAATGGTCCTGAGGAACGGGAAACAAAAGAGGTGAGCCCTCCGATTGCCCCGGCTTACAGCATTTAGCCAGTCTGCCGGTCGAGATGCAGGGAGGGGAAACCCAGGCAGAGCACGGTGGACCCCTGGTCTGAGAAGACAGAGCTGATAGTCCACACAGACCAAGCAAGCTGGAGTTCACAGGGCCGAGTGCCAGGCAGGATGAGCTGCACAGAGAGAGCTCCAGTCACTTACAGAGGGTCCCTCTAGGGAACTACCCAAGGCTGGGGAAAGAACCACCTGAACAGCAGCCAGTGCTCAGACAGGACCAGAAACAGGCCCATTCCATAGGCCAGACTGGTAAACATCATAATTCAGGGGATGTCGGGGAGGGTACTCAAAGGGGTCTTGTCACCTAGTGGGGAATAATTAGCCCTAGACTAAATGCTGATCTGGTCCCACCTAACATATCTTAAGGGCAAGACCCAAAAGGATCAAACTGTTTCCTAAGCTCAAAAGTATTTATCAAATACAAAAATATTCAACATCCAGTAAGGGAAAATTCAAAACATCTGGATCCAATCAAAAATTACTATGCATGCAGAGAAGCAGGAAAATATAACCCAAATTAGGACAAAAATCAATCAATCAAAACTGATCCAGAACTGACAGAGATATTAGAACTAGCAAACAAGGATATTAAAATAGTGGTAACTGTATTTCATATGTTCAAAAAGCTAGAGGAAACATTGAACACATTAAGTCAAGACATGGAAGATATAAAAGAGACCCAAATAGAACTTCTGGAGATGAAAACTACAATATCAGAGGTGAAAAATACACAGGATGGGATTAATGGCAGACCAAATGTTGCAGAAAGAAAGATAAGTAAAGACACAGCAATAGAAACTATCTAAAATGGAACACAGAGAGAAAAGACTAGAATAATAGTGAATGAACCAGTGAGCTGAGGGACAAGTGACATATGTGTAATTGGGGGCCCTGAAGGAGAGGAGACAGAAGACAGAAGAAATTATTTGAAGAAATAATGATCAAAATTTTTCCAACTGGGATGAAAACTATAAACCCAGAGAGCCAAGAAGCTCAATGAACCCCAAGCAAAAAATCAATTGAAGGACAATTCTGGGAAATGGAGGCAGCGGCAGACTAGGTTTTAAATCTCCACAAATCCCCTCAGGAAAACGGCAACTAAGAGACCAAAACCACAGCCCACAGCCCGCGTGCACCGCTGATCCCGGCCAAGAGAAGCCAACGGTAGATCATCTCATCACCGTTTATAACCAATTTGATCAGAACGGCTTCAAACAGAATTCGCTGCTTGCTTCCAGTGCCATAACTATGTCATAAATCAAACACTTGAAAATTCCTTTCCAGGAAAGGTAATTCTATTTTTCCCTTAACACTAACTGTATGGGTTCGTTCTCTAAGGAAATGATCTATTCTCACATTTCTACCGACACAGGTATACCATGTTTATTACATTTCACTACTGTCCTTTCAAGTAACTTAATCAAAATCCACAGTAATCATGTTTATTTTTAATCACAAAATATACCTATTTTTATAATCTATGATACTATCTTTCTTTCATATCTACGTTTCTTACAGGTTGGTATTTGTTTTATTTTTAAAATGTACATATGTCTGGGGCCAGTCCGGCGGCACAGCGGTTAAGTGCGCATGCTCTGCTTCTGTGGCCCTGGGTTCGCAGGTTCAGATCCCTGGCGCGCACCGACACACCGCTTGTCAAGCCATGCTGTGGCGGCGTCCCATATAAAGTAGAGGAAGATGGGCACAGATGCTAGCCCAGGGCCAATCTTCCTCAGCAAAAAAAAAAAAAGAGAGAGAGAGAGAGAGGCAGATTGGCAACAGATGTTAGCTCAGGGCTGATCTTCCTCACAAAAAAAATAAAAATTAAAAAATAAAATGTATATATGTCAAAGAAGGAAAGATACTAGATTTAAAACAGGGAATGGGTTGGAAATAAATTTAACCCTTTGGTATTTTTAAAATATATATTCTGTGCCTTCAATGCATTCAACTTTATCAAATAAAACTGGAAATTTATTCTAAATCGACTCTGACAGAAAATACATGCCTACCACCCACCACTGCGAGGGATTCTAGCAGATATTTTGGCCATTTCTCAAGAACAAGTGGTACTGTACATTTCAGAACCACTTACATAAGATGTGATTATTAATGTACACACTGGTGGTAAACAGCAATCCCGAGAGCAATCTGGTAAGCACAATATTCAAAACCTGAAAGAACAAAACAATGAAAACCATCAAATGTACTGCCCTGTAGAAAAGAAGGAAAATACTTAATGATGCGGTTTGTCCCAAAGCAATCTGCTATTAAGTTCTGGTATCTGAGTATTTTTAGATATCTCAGAAAATCCTGGAAGACCATGGAGATGGAGGCCAGCACATCGAGTTCTAGGCCAAAGAAATAAACGTGCTGCTTCCACCAACCGTAAAATTCAATGCAACAAGACCAGTTTCCATAAACTACAATCTCAACTCATAAAAATCACTGCAAGTGACAGGCTCACTCGCACCTTTGCAGCAGCACCAGGACTGCAGCCAAGAGACACTGGGGGGTCCTCCCTGGAGACCTGAGCAGCACCTGAGAGAGAAGAGCCATCGGGGATGGATGAATACTAAGCTCCCCTCTACCGGCCTGCACATTTGTTCACTCCCTACCTTTCTAACTTTCTAAGAGACTAACCACTTGTGATCTAGAACATTCTTTCAGCAGGGGAGCTCTCTAGAAGAGCCAAGTGCTCAATGCTCACTCAGTGTGAACTTCTCTGACACTCCCTCCTAACTTTGGCTCCTCTTTTCACCACAGGTGGAATTCTCAGTCAGGACACCAGCTTGGTGGTCCTTAGGCATAAACTAAGAGGCCCTGAACACAAGGTACTGGCCACGGCAGAAGGTGCTGGGGCAGCCAAACACGAAGCCGATAGCCTCTATCGCTCCGTAGCCACAACATACACGCATGCAGATAAATCATCACCCACGGGAAGGACGTCACTTTGCTGGTAGCCCTGGCTCCCTTTCTGAAAGCTGCATACTGAGATCACAGACTCCCCTCTACAACAGTGCTTCAAGGGAGCAGAAAGCACTTGGTAAAAACAACAAACTCACAGCTACATTAACAGTACAAAACAGAGCTGGCAGTGCATGGCTATCAGCCAACTTCTAATTCTCGAGCCCCGTGTCTGCAGGACACCCACATGAAGTGCCCTTTTAGGTGTCACCAATAGACCTTCTGTAGGCCCTGAGTCAGGGGGCTGCAAGTAACTGAGCTGATTCGTGGCTGAAGCACAGCTGACAAATGCTGGGCCACACTTCATCACTGTCCAATTCTACACCTCCAAATTAAGCAAAAACTCAACCAAGTGATTCAAATTAAAGCAATCTGTGGCAATTATCTGATAAATGTTATTGTACTGGATAAAGTCCTTTTCCTTGGGAACAGATGGAAGTCATGCTGTGTGCCTGAAAAGTCAGCTCTCTGCAAACACTTACTTGAAGGGGACGTGGGTGGCTTCCTGGAGGGCTGCTGCTCTGCCTTGGGGCCGCTGACGTGCCCTGTGGGTGTGTCCCGGTGTCCTTCAGGGCTTAGCGAGTACTGGAATTGGATTGTCCCCGACTCCACCTGCCTCACCTACGGTGGACCACAACACAAGCAATGACGGCCACGCTCCCTGCATCAGCATCCTTTAGTTAGAATAGTTCAACCAGGAACAATTCGCCCAGCCCTAAGAGACTAGGTAAAATCAAGGATCTCTGAAGTCACGTGTTCTTAGATTATAATCAATTTCTGAGGAGAAAACAATTGGCTGTGGCATTAAAATCCCAGAAGGCCACGTTATCACAGAATGACCCTTACACAAGTAGCAATCACAAGTTTTCTCCAGTTTTGAATGTTTTTTAATTAACACATGTAAAATTGACTTTTTGAAGTTTGGAGTATAGTTCTATGAGTTTTAATACTTGTAATCCCCACAAGGGTACAGAACGGGTACAGAACAGCTCCATCATCCAAACACTCCCCAGTGCTGCCCCTTTGTATCCAGTCCTGCCCCCGCCTACACCCCAAAATTACTGAGCTGCTCTCCATCACTGCAGTCTGGTCTTTTGATCAATGTCACGTAAATGGAACCATATGGTATACAACTTTTGAGACTGGCTGCTTTCACTCCACACAATACTGATGAGATTCCTCCAAGTCATTGTATGTATCAATTTGTTCCTTTTTATTGCTGAGTAGTATTCTATTGTTTGATAAACCACGGTTTATCTATCCATTCACCCATTTAAGAATATTTGGGCTGTTTCCAACTTGGGTGATTATACATAGAGCTGCTATAAACACTGGTGTACATATTCCTGTGTGAACATAAGTTTCATTTCTTTAAGGACAGGATTGCTGAGTCCTATAGTAAGTGTCTATTTAATTTTATAGGAAACTGCCAAACTGTGATTCACCTCTGGACTCTGTATTCCACCCATCCATCTACGTTCCGGTTCCTTCACCAACAGCACTTTATACTGATTGTCGTAGCTTTATGTAAATCTTAAAATTGTGTATTATGATTCCTCCAACTTTATTCTTCTTTTCAAAATTGTTTTGACTCTTCTAATTCTTTTGCCTTTCTGTACAAATTTTAGAATCAGCTTGTCTACATCTACAAAAAAAAAATCTTGGGGCGGGCCCGGTGGCGCAAGCGGTTAAGTGCGCACGCTCTGCTGCGGTGGCCTGGGGTTCACCGGTTCGGATCCTGGGCGCGCACCAACGCACTGCTTGGCAAGCCATGCTGTGGTGGCGTCCCACATAAAGTGGAAGAAGATGGGCACGGATGTGAGCCCACGGCCAGTCTTCCTCAGCAAAAAGAGGAGGATTGGCATCAGACGTTAGCTCAGGGCCAATCTTCCTCAAAAAAAAAAAAAAAATCCTGCTAGGATTTTGATGGAAATTGCATTATCTATAGATCAATTAGGGGAGAAAATATATCTTTATATGTTGAGGCTTCCAATCCATAAAGACGTTATGTCTCTCCATTTATTTAGTTCTTCTTTGATTTCACCTAAGAGTAACCGCAATGAGAATAATGACATGCAGCAAAAGTAACGTTTTATAGTTTTCAGCATACAGATCCTGTACATATTTTGTTAGATTTATTTCATTGAGGGGAGGGCTTTGTAAATAAATACGGTTTTTTTAAGTTTTGCTTTCCAACTTTCATTGCTAGTATACAGAAGTATGATTGAATAGAAATATGATTGAATTTTTTTTTATTGTGGTAACATTGGTTTATAACATTATATAAATTTCAAGTGTACATCTTTATACTTCTATTTCTGCATACATTACATCATGTTCACCACCCAAAGACTAAATTACAATCCATCCCCACACAGGTGCCTAATCATCCCTTTCGCCCTCCTCCCTCCCCCCCTTGCCCTCTGGTAACCGCCAATCCAATCTCTGTCTCTGTGTTTGTTTTTTGTTGTTTTTATCTTCTATTTATGAGTGAGATCCTATAGTATTTGAATTTCTCCCTCTGACTTATTTCACTTAACATAATACCCTCAAAGTTCATCCATGTTGTCACAAATAGCTGGATTTCATCATTTCTTATGGCTGAGTAGTATTCCATTGTGTACAAATACCACATCATCTTTATCCATTCGTCCCTCGATGGGCGCTTAGGTTGCTTCTAAGTCTTGGCTACTGTGAATAATGCTGCAATGAACACAGGGGTCCATGTATCTTTACACATTTGTGTTTTCATGGTCTTTGGATAAACACCCAGCCACGGAATAGCTGGATCGTATGACAGTTCTATTTTTAATTTTTTGAGGAATCTCCATACTATTTTCCATAGCGGCTGCACCAGTTTGCACTCCCACCAGCAGTGTATGAGAGTTCCCTTCTCTCCACATCCTCTCCAACACTTGTTGTTTGAATTTTCTATCTTGACCTCCTGTTGTATCCTGCAACCTTGATAAACTTACTCATTCTAGTTTTACAGATCCCTTGGGATTTTCTACATAGACAATCATGTTGTCTGCAAATAAGGGCAGTTTTGTTTCTTCCTTTCCAATCTGTACGTCTTTTATTTTGTTTTCTTGCCTTACTGCACTGGCTAGGACTTCCAGCACAATGTCCAATAAGATTTTGAACGCTATGAGTAGATATCCTTCACTTGTTGCTGATCTTAGGGGGAAAGCATCCAATCCTTCACCATTAAGTCTAATGTTAACTAAAGGGTTTTTGTAGATGACCTTGATCAGACTGAGGAAGTTCTCTTCTATTCCTAGTTTGCTCAGAGTCTTTATTATAAATGGATGTTGAATTCTGTCAAATGCTTCTTCTGCATCAATTTCTGCATCATACAGTTTTCCTTCGCTAGGCTATTACTATTATGAATTATATTTCTTGATTTTCAAAAGGAAAATAGCCTCGTATTCCTAGGATAAACCCCTACTTGGTCATGGTGTATTATTTTTTTTCCATATCGTCGGATTCAATTTGCTAACATTTTGTTGAATATTTTACATCTTTGTTCTTGAGGGATATGTGTCCACAGTTTTCTTTCCTTGTACTGTCTTTTTCTGGTTTTGATATCAGGGTAATACAGGCCTCACAACATGAATTGGGAATTGTTCCCATCTCTTCTATTTTCTGGAAGAGATTGTATAAAATTGGTATTATTTCTTCTTTAAATATTCAGTAGAATTCACAGTGAATTGCCCTGGATATTTCTTTTTCAAAAGTTTTTAACTATGAATTCAATTTCTATAATAGTTATAGAACTATACTACTCAGGTTATCTACTTCATCTTGGGTGAGTTTTGATGGTTTGTTGTTTAGGATGAATTGATCCATTTCATCTAAATTGTCAAATTTATGAGCATAGAGTTGTTCATAGTATTCCCATAATGCCTTTTAATACCTGTGTGGTCTGTAGTGACATCCCTTCTTTCATTCCTAATACTATTAATATGTGTGCCCTCTCTTTCTTCTTCTTCATTTTTCCTAGAGGTTTCTCAATTTTATTGAGCTTTTCAAAGAATCGGTTTTTGGTTTCATTGCTTTTCTCTATTGTTTTTGTTTTCAATTTCATTGTTTTCTGCTCTTATCTTTATTATTGACTTCCTTGTGCTTGCTTTGGGTTTATTTTGCTCTTCTTTTTCTAGTTTCTACAGGTGGAAGATTAGATTATTGATTTGAGACCTTTTTTCTGTCCTAACATTAGCACCTAATGTGATAAATTTCTATGTAGGGTGCTGCAGCTGCATCATACAAATATTGATACGTTGTATGTTCAGTTCAAAATACCTTCTATTTGTTTCTTGAGGCTTCCTCTTTGACTCACAGATTATTTAGAAATGTATTATTTAATTTCCAAGTATTTGTAATTTTTTGTTATCTTTGTTGTCGAATTCTAGTTTAATTCCATTATGACCACAGACTATACCTTGCATAATTTCAATTTTTAAAAAAATTATTAAAGTTTGTTTTATGATCCAGGATGTGGTCTATCTTGGTGAATGCTCCACGTGCATTTGAGTGTGTATTCTGCTGTTGTTGGGAGGAGTGTTCGATGAATCATTTAGATCCAGACGGCTGATGAGGATGTTCAGTTCTTCTATATTCTTGGTGACTTTCCACCTTTGTGTTCTATAGTTTACTCTGAGAGGAGTGTTGAAGTCTCCAACTATGAATTTGTCTATTTCTCCTTTCAGTTCTATTAGTTTTTTTTGTGTGTGTGTGTGTGTATGTGAGAGGAAGATCAGCCCTGAGCTGACATCCATGCCAATCCTCCTTTTTTTTTTGTTGAGGAAGACTGGCCCTGGGCTAACATCCGTGCCCATCTTCCTCCACTTTATATGGGACACCACCATAGCATGACCTGACAAGCGATGCGTTGGTGCGCGCCCGGGATCCAAACCCAGGCGGCCAGCAGCAGAGCGTGCGCACTCAACTGCTACGCCACAGGGCCGGCCCCTCAGTTCTATTAGTTTTTGCTTTATGTATTTTGAAACTTTATCTATGTCACATGCATACACTTTTAGGATTGTATGTCTTCTCAGCGAATTGACTCTTTTTTCATATATAATATCGCTCTTAATTCCTGGAAATTTCCTTTGCTCCAGAGTCTACCTGTCTGGTAGGAATGAATACAGCCACTCCAGTTTTCTTTTGATTAGTGTTTGATGGAATGTTTGTCCATGCTTTTGCTTTTAACCTTCCTGCATCATTATATTATATCGTTGGACCTTGATTTTTTATGCAACCTGACAATTTCCGTCTTTAAATTGGTGTGTTGAGACTCTCTACATTTTATGTAACTACTGGTATCTTTGGACTCAGGACTACCATTTTATCATTTGTTCCTTCTGTTTTTCATTCGTTTCCCTTTCTTGCCTTCTTTTGAAACATTCCATTTTATCTATCTATTAGGTTCTTTACTGTCTCTTGGTACTTCATTTTTAGCGATTGCTCTGCATTTACAATGTCCGTATTTAACTCTTCGCAGTCTACTCAGAATTGACGTGTGAGCCCTTCAGGTGGAATGGAGTAACCCTGACACCGTGTAAGCCTCTTTACCCTCCCTCTTTATATCATTACTGTCTTACCTATTATATCTACATAGCTTAAAAATCCTATCTGTCATAATTTCTGCTTCAACCATCTAACATATTTTAGAGAGCTCAAGAGGAGAATACTGTATCATATTTATCATTTCTATTGCTCTTTCTTCATTTCTGATACACCAAGTTTCCATCTGGTATCATTTCTCCTCTCTCTGAAGACATTCCTTTAGTAATTCTTTTAGAGCATATCTACTGCCAATGAATTCTCTTAGTTTTAGTTCATCTGAGAATGTCTTAATTTCACCTTCATTCCTGCATGACTTTTGCTGGAGACAGAAGTCTGAGTTCTAGGCCCTTTCTGTTATGCTTTTAAAATGTTGTTTCATTTCCTTCTGGCCTTTACGATTTCTGCTGAGGAACCCACAAACACTCGAATTACTGTTTCTCTATAAGTAACGCAGCATTTTTCTACGGCCATTTTCAAGACTTTGTCTTCATTTTTCAGCAGTTTGATGATGATGTGTCTGGGTGTGGATTTCTTTGCATTTGTCTCTGGGGTTCACTGAACCTCTTCAATCTGTAGGTTTATGTCTTTGCCAAATTTGGGAAGTTTTCAGTCATTATTCCTTCATGTATTTTAACTGCACTGTACCCTTTCTCCTCTACTGGGACTCTGATGACACAAGTGTTAGCCTTTGTGGTACTGGCCCACAGGTCCCTGAAGCTTCATCCACTGTCTTCCAATCATTTTTCTCTTTCTGGTTCAGGCTGGATAAATTCTATTGATTTATCTTTGGGTTCACTGACTCTTTCTTCTGTCATCTCCATTCTGCTATTGAGCCTATCTAGTGAATTTTTATTTTCGTTATTTTATTTTTCAGTCCTAAAATCTCCACTTGCTTCTTTTCAATCTTCTATCTCTTTGCTAAGACTTTCTTTCCATTTGTTTCAAGTGTCCCCTTGTATTTACTGAAGTGTTTTACAATGCCCACTTTAAAGCCTTCGTCTGACAATTCCAACATTCGTGTCATCTCAGTGCTGCTATCTGTTGAACATCTTATCCCTGCAAGTTGAGATGTGCCTGGTTCTTTGAATGTCAATTAAGTTTAGATTGTATCAAGAACATTTCGAATATTACCCAAGACGGAGTCTCATTTAAATCCAATGGAGATTATTGATATTTCTGTTTAGTCAGGAATCAACCCAGTTTGGCTCAGACTGCAGTTTCTGACCAGCCCCCAGTGGGTTGTGGTTTCAATGTCAGTTCTGTCTCAAAGCCTGTGCAGTGCTTTCTGGATCTCTCCTCCATGTGATCCACCCAGCGGGCACCCCTGGACTGGGTGGAGGTCCACCCACAGTTCAGTTCTCCAAGTCTTTGCTCTGCTGTTCAGGGTCAGATTCAGGCATGTGCAGCTTGGGGGTTAACCCAGCATTCCTTAAACCACTTTACAGGGCGGCTTTCTAGGCTCCTCCCTCTCCACGACCTCCCTAGTACTTTCCAGTTCCCTGGGGCTCCCTTCACAATCGCACAGCCAGGTCCTGGTGTGTAGCTCATCTCTGGCAACACTACCTGAATCCTAGGCCAAGCAGTGAGAGGATACAGTGTTTTTTTTTAAGAAGTGCAGGACTGTATGAAAGACCTAAAGTTCTCATCTGTCATTACTGGAAGTCAATATATGATGTCTAAAATTTATAAACTAAGAAATAGCAGTAGAAGCATAATATTTACAAAACTAAGTAAACAGCATAAGTCACAGCTAAGAGTTGAAAGTGGCTGCCTCTGGAGATATAAACTTCTTTTAAAAACACTATTATTTGCTCAAGAGAAAAATATAGGAGTTGTTTAGGAAAGAAAACATAATCATAACATATTACTTACCTTCACAGTAAATGACATGGAAATAATCATAAAATAAACCCCAAAATTTACTTAGCTGAAAATTATGGGATGTTTATAATATTTATATTTTTAGTTGATTAATATCTGCCACTTCTACTCCACTGTAAGTTCCATAGGATCAGGGATATTTCCCTAGAGTATATACACATGCTCAATAAAAATCCACTGAATGAATGAATAGGATAAAGAGTTAACTGGTATGGGGGCAGAGAACAGACACCTAGGTCTCTGAGCTGTCTCACTTGATAGATGCTGCACTATTTTATAAGATAAGAAACACAGGGAGAAGCACAGGAGTGCTCTAGAATGCAGGAGAATGAATCAAGTTTGTGACCAGCTGTAGTTCATTATTTTAGTTAATTACATCTGTTTAGAGGGGTCCTCAACTAGGGGCAATTTTGCCCCCAGGAGACATTAGGCAATGTCTACAGACATTCTGGGCTGTCACGATTGGGAGGATGCTACTGGCATCTAGTGGGGAGAGGCCAGGGCTGGTGCTGACAATCCTCCAACGCCCAGGACAGCCCCACAGCAAAGAACTGTCTCGCCCAAAATTTCAACAGTGCTGAAGTTGAGAAACTCTGATTAGAAGTGATATTCCTTGTAAAAAATGGTGGTATTTGATATATTTGTGCTCTTAATATAGTCAAACCTTCAAAACACTTATGCCCCAATACAGCTTACACACTTAAAAAGTAAAGGAAATGTAGTGGCATAAGAAGGCTAACACTTAATAGAATGAATATTTATTTATATTCGTACGTACAGAGAGAGAGAGAGAGAAGACAGTGAATGAGAAAGAGAGAAGGGCAATGGCTTCAGGATTTCTAATGGCAATTTTATAATAAGGGCTCAAACTAGACCATGTGGGAATACAGCAAAATGTGGGCCCATAATGAGAGACATTCCTTATAATAGGAAAAGCTGCACAATCAGCTGTTCCCTTATTCAGGTCCCCAAAGCATTATCCAAATCATAAATAACAACACTGAAAATAATGTTTGTTGCTGGAGTCAGCACACAGATGACATACTGAAATGACAGGTATGGTCCCCTTACCTAAGAAAAATGGGACAGTTGAGTCCTAAAAGGTTCCTATTTGCACTGCTGACACAGGCTGGGCATATTGCAGCAATGGAAGCAGAAGAACCAAACAATGCACCCAGACAGAGACCCTGCCCCGACACATTAGTGTCAGGAAGGGCTTCAGACGTCAGCCAGAGCAGTGGTTTCACACGGTGTCAGTGGCACCTGGGTAACAACTACGCATCCTGCAAGCCCACCAATGGGCCAGGGGAGGCCAGGGGATGAGACCCTCACACACACTTCGGTTGGCCCTGCCCCTCTCTTATTTGCTTTCTGCATTGGGGTTCAGAGAAAGCTTCACTTCAAAAATGGATTTTTAAAAATCCTGCTGCAGTCCCACTCTCTGTACACAGCTGGAGAGAGCCGAGGTCCAGCGGCATGAGTGACAAGTCACAAAGACAAGCCGGGGCTTGACACCGACCACCTGGCCCCCACCACAGAACTAGTGCCGCACAAGGCCCATCCTCTAATGCACCAAACATTTCAACAGTCCTTTTTAAAAAGCCTCGTACAGGGGGCCGGCCTAGAGGCATTGCGGTTAAGTGCGCGCACTCCACTTCGGCAGCCCGAGGGTTTGCAGGTTCAGATCCCGGGTGTGTACCAACGAACCGCTTGACAAGCCATGCTGTGGCGGCGACCCATATAAAGTGGAGGAAGATGGGCATGGATGTTAGCACAGGGCCAATCCTCCTCAGCAAAAAGAGGAGGACTGGCATCGGATGTTAGCTCAGGGCTGATCTTCCTCACACACACACACAAAAAAGCCTCGTACAACACAGAAGTGGATCTTATTGTAAAGTGTGTACAAATAAGAGTCAAAGGCCCTGCAGGTTACCCCGAGACCCTGACATGTGAACAGGGATGCTATGAGACCCATGCTAAAGACAGGCCCCAGTGAGTGCACAGCCGACTGTGACTCAGCAATGACACTTAGTTTTTAAGGGCACATTCATGACATGTAAAAACTCTGCTCACGATACATCTGCAAACATTTGTCAACTTCCGGTTTTGAAAATGTATGAACTTGCTAGAAGCTCATAGGAAAAGAATCGTATATACTTACGAAGTGTATAACAATTTACCTCTTCGGAGCTCATGGTGGCTGGGGGTACCTTATAGACCAGGCAGTGTGAAGGGTTGGGCTGGATGCCACCCTGCAGAGGTAACATCACCTTCCCAGAGCTGGCTTCCAGCGCCGGGTTCCAAACAGCCCAGCGAACCATGTGCATACACGCCAAGTTGGACAAAGAGGTGACGGACGCTGCCTAGAATGCAAACAAAGCACATGGGTGCATGAGTTATCACAAAACCCAGCTGGGTGGGGGACATCAATGGTGCTTTCATGATAAACTTTAAATAGAGAGCAGTGTAGCAAGGCAGGGGATCACCAGTTCCATTTCACAAAAGCAGGAACCGAGGTATAGGCAGAACACAGCATCACACAGGCGGCAGAGAGCGCAGGGAAGCCAGCCTCCCATTCTGACACCCCACTCGCCTAAGACCCGCCCCCCATACGGCTTCCCTCTTAAAGACCAACACTGTCTCACGGCTCCTGATCCCATAAGGATCCTTCTGCAGGTTTGTAAACACTCAGCACCTTGCCAACATCTACCCAAATCCATTAGGAAAACACCAGGAACAACCCTTTGTGTTAGTGATAAGCATCTTTGTGAAACAACAAAGAATACAGGCAGGTATTCACTTCAGGGTCATTAGCACACAGTTTCTCCAGCAGCGTCAGCTCCTAATGGTGTATTTTATGCATGTGACTTGATGTGTAACTGGGAAACCAGTCGGGTCAAGTTATGTGCTGCTCCTTCTTTCACCTTCTCTGCCACTGGCCAAACGAAAGGAAGGAGGACACCAAGGACAGTCTAGGATTAGCATCACATTTAAAGAAAGTCATTTCACAAATCTGGTTTCAGGGCTTGACACAGCAGTGTTTTAAAGGAACCCCTTCATGCTTCGTTCAAAAAGAAGCAAGAATGAAGCCCAACTCCAGGCCTTGGTCAGGTACTATGACCCTGCTCAGCTGGTCTCTGAGACTGGGATTTGGCCCCCTGAGAAGGCGACTCAGAGACACTGGCTCTGAACGAGGCCCCGACTGGCAGACTCTGCAGGCTCCTTGGTAGAGGAGCACAGCAGGACCCCAGGAAGGCCAGTTCTCGGGCCACAGGACCCAGGGGGCACTTGGTGACTCCAGGTCAGACTGGGCACCTGGGAAGAGCATTTTCCACCCCCAGAGCCCAGCTGCACTAAGCAGAGTCAGATTGAGATGGTCCAGACTCAAGGACAGCAGCCATGCTCCCCCGCCCCAAGACCCCTAGGTGGTGACGTGGGAGGAGAAGGCAGTAGGTGGTGACATGGAACATGAGCACAGCACTTCACTTCCTAAGATCTCTGCATGGGTGACCGAGAGCCATCTGCACCCCTCCAGGATGAGGAAAGCAAAACAATCAGGTGGCTCCTCTGTCTCTGGGCAGCTAAGGGAGCCAAGGGCCCTCCGTCCCTCTTGACCACTGGCTGAGTGCACTAACACAGGCAGCCGTGGCCACAGGGAGGGCGGACGGCCTGCAAGGAGGGGCCTCCTGCTCCTGGAGAGGAACGGAAGCCCAGGCCCTGCCCGTGGTGGTGAAGAGCACCCTCCCCAAGGAGAGGGGAAGCCAGGGGGACTGCTGCTCGAGCTGCGACGGGAGCCACCGAGGAGGCACGGCTCCAGCAGTGCGCCTGGGGCTCCCGATGGACCCCGCCTATTTGCCTGGACTGGGTGAGCTGCTACGCCATTGTCACGGCGAGGACTTGACTGCTCTTGGGTCCAAGGCAAGTCTCCACACACGCATACAGAAGGACTCTGGCTGGACTCTGACGCAGACGGCAGGATGGCCGACTGGGTTAAACCACAGCTGAGCGTATGTGTGATCAGGTCCCAATAAGAAAAGGAATTGCATGCGTTTCATCCAAGTCAGTCTTTCCAGCCTGTTTCTTGCCATATGATATCCCACCCTATTGTAACCTTTATATCCATGAGGGGATAAAAAACATCCAACATCAGTGTCTGGTTTTGAATTCATCTCTCTTCCCCAAGGCCCCGTTGTGACCAGACCTCAAACCACCCACTTCAGCAAGGCCTGGTCTGATCCTTTACTGGAGCCAAATTTCAGATCACGGGGTAGGCTCCCACCACGTTCTGCTGGGTCACGGGGATGAGCAGGGATTCAGGTCCCTGACAATTCAGTGAGAAAAAACCCACCTCCTGGAAGTAAAAAGAATCAGCAAAGTAAGAAGCCTAAGCATGTGACTCTGTGCCGCAGTTTCAATGTCTGTGAAAGCACAGACGAAGTCTGCCTTTCCCCATCTAACTCGCCGGACAGTGTAAACTGGTGCTGAGCGACTACGGTATATCAATGAAAAGTTGGTTAAAAATCCATCACTTTTTAAAAATAAAATTATTACAAATGTATTAGGAAAACTGGCCACTAAAAAAACAAGAAGGATTCAATAATATCTAAGCTACTTTTGTAAACAGTCATCACCAATAAAACCTAGAAGTTTATTACAGGACCAAAATACAAATCCACATTCTCATACTATTTGTGCAACTCCTTCTGGTTTAATTTTTTAAATTAGGTGATTCCAATAGCTAATTTTCCAATTTCACAGTTCCTTTTGGTTTTTTCATTCTCAATCAATACAGCTGTCTTCCTTGTGAAGCATCTGTCAGTTACACAAATATCCATTTTCCTCACTTTTGTTTTTAACAGCCCTAACAAGAGACAGTTAGTGACTTATTGATCACTCCTGCACAAAGACTTCAGTGGGACAATTAGCGCCTGGTGGCAAATTCAATTGCCATTTATTAGCTTGCATTCTCTCCCAACTGGGCCAGGGTGATACCTGCAGGCTAGAACCTCCCTAACCCCCTACTCCACACCCCACCCCCACCGCCCCCCTCCCCCGGCGCTTTAAGGGGAAGGTCAGGTACACGGAGCACATGGGCAGAGCAAGGGCAACTACTGACTGTCATCATGACAGAGCTCCTCCTGCCAGTGAATTTTAGTGGGTGAGATCAGATCTGTTACTTTACAATGTCTTTTCCTGCCAAACCAGGTTTGATTTCACACAAACTGGAAAAAAAAAAAAAAATACACTGAATTGTTCCCATTTAGACTTTTAATTATAATAGCAAACAATATACAGAAAGCCACAGGAATACACCTGGATTACGAGTCAGGTGTGTCGTGGAACAGAAGTGCCACACTGTCCTTCACGAGGCAAAGAGCAAACAGACAACAGACATGTGACCCCGGGGAACACACAACCCAGGTCCCTGTGGTGGGCGGAATGGTGGCCCCAAAAAGACATGTCCACATCCTGATCCCTGGACTGTGGCACTGTGATCTTACTCTGTGCAGAGGTAATTAAGTATCATGAAATGAGGAGCTCTAATTCCCCAGGTGGGCCCGAAAGCCAAGGACAAGCGTCCTGATAAGAGCAGGACAGGGGCTGGGCCCGTGGCCTAGTGGTTAAGTTCGGCGCGTTCCACTTCAGCAGCCCAGGTTCCTGGGCACAGACCTACACTACTCGTCAGCGGCCACGCTGTGGTGGCAGCTCACATACAAAATAGAGGAAGATTAGCAATAAATATTAGCTCAGGGCAAATCTTCCTCAGCAAAAAAAAAGAGCAGGACAGAGAGAGATTGAGACAGAGGGAGACACACAGAGGGAAGGCCATGTGACGAGGGAGGCAGAGGTTGGAGCAATGCAGCCACAAGCCAAGGAGCACCGGCAGCCACCAAACCCTGGAAGAGGCAGGAAGGATCATCCCCTAGAGCCTCCAGAGGGAGCACGGCCCTGCCAACACCTCGATTTTGGCCCCGCAGAACCGATTGTGGATCTGTGGCCTCCAGAACTGCGAGAAAATAAATGTCTATTATTTTAAGCCGCACAGTTCGTGGCAATTTGTTCCGGAGTCCCCTCGGCTTCTGTCCTCAGACCAACTCAAAAGTCACTCAGAAGCAGGTAAAAACTTCACATTATTTCATGAGGTTGATTTTCTTTGAATTTTCAGTGAGATCTTTTCCTCCCGCCTGGAGCCCCATGCCGGCCGCCAGAGGCCCCTCCACACTGACTCTGGGCACTGAGCCCCAAAGCCCGGAAATGCACACGGAGGGGAGAGTGACACCTACTGGGCAGCGGGAGGTCCTCTGCCCCCGAAGACACCTCCAGAGACAAGGCCCAAGGGACAGACTCTTGATGGGGGCGAGCACACTGGGGCACTTGGCTGAACGCAAATGGAAAAAAGACAACCTATTGTGACAAAACATCTCCAAATGTTCCCAATATCACTCAAATCACAGCAGAAGGAATAAGCCAAAAGAAAGAGAGAGAGAGAGAAACTTAGGAACTATATTACGATGAAGGAGGGAGCAGGGGGCATAGGGAGAAGGCGGCCCTGGGCCCTGGGTGGGCACAGGTGTGTCCCGCGTTTGCACGGTGCAGGCATGTCCACTGTGCGCACCGGCTCATGTGATCCTCATCTCGGCCTGAACGCCGCCGACCACAGAGGGGCTGCGAGCACACGCCGGGGGTGGGCCGAGGCCCACCCAGGCGGCACAGACCAGCAACTTCCTCTGAACTCCTACAAAAGTGCACACGCCCAAGATCATTCATCTCAGCATCGTTTACAGCTGAGAAATACTGGGAACCATCTAAACATCCAAACACAGGAAACTGGGTGAATAAACTGTGGGACACGACGGAGTGCCTGCAGCTGGAGAAAGGGGTGAGGAAGCGCTCTGGGGACGGCCAGGTACTACCGCCAAGATATACTGTTAACACGAGAAAAAGTAAAGTGCAAAACCGCACATAGATAGTCGCTACCCTCTGTGCGTTAAAGGGAACTAAAAAACACACATGCTTGTTAAGATTCACAAAAACCAACCCAGAGAGGACGGACCAGGCATAACGGCACTGGCTCCCCCCGAGGGGTGGGACCATGAAGGAACACAGAAGGTGGGACGTTTTTCTCAGATCACCTTTTGGTAGAATTTTGACTTTTAAAAGCATACTAGTGTTCTATATATTAAAAAAATAAAACTAAATCAATAAGGATGGGAAGGGGAAATAACCACAAAACTGAAAGCCAACATCAACAAGAGGCCCCACTGTAGCTTCAATGAATGGCAAGACCACACCGAGGGCAGAGGCAAGAGACAGGAGAAGTCTACCTGACTGCTCCCCTCAGTCCTGGCTGCTAACAGATCCT